GAACCCCAAGTGAAGCAGAAGCCAATGAGATGGAAACCAGTACGAAAGAAGAAACGTCCTGTAAAATTAAGAGACTTTGTTGTATTTTAATTTTGCATTTGTAAATTCTGTACATTTAATTAAGTTATTGTTAATTACCTATTGGTTTAATGTAAGTGGCTACTGTTCAGGACGAACAATACTAAGGAAGGGGCAGTGTTACGACAGTGGAAGTCGTGTGACACTGGAAGCATGCATGCTGGAGTTTCTGGAAGGATCATGAATTATCGAGGAACCCCGCGAATGTCCAAGTGTTTGCCAGACGCCCTCTTTTTTAGTATATAAGCCCAGCAAATAAAGCCAGCAATAGATAGATATGCAGATAGATTGAAGAGATAGATAATTGAGTCAAGCGAACAGTAGGCACCATAGGTAAAGTGTGTCAATCACTGTGATTTATAGTGTGTGTTATAAAGGTTGTTCAATTTAAAATGACTGTGGAAATTCTGTGTATTACAAAAAGTTGTATTGAGGAAGAATAAACTAGCTTTAATTAAGAAAGGACTTGTATCACTGAAGTTCCTCGGAAAGAATTTAGACCAGAAATTAACAAACAAGCAGATATGCAACAGTATATATGCTGTAGTATTTGAATAAACAGAGAGGGTTGAATATGTTACATTAAAATGATTTTGAATATGTAAATCAGCAAGTAACATAACAACCACAGCTAAAGTCATGGTGAAATGAGTGTATTACAACTATATTTGACACTGTTTGGCATTTCTTAGGTAATGTGAGGATATAAGAAATTGATTACTTTTGGCAAGAGTATGTAATGGCTCCTTGTGGTGCAAAATGTTCATACATTCATATTTGAAATTTAGAATTTCCAAGATGGAGTTATCCCTTGTATTTAAAGGCATTGGAAAACAAAAGAATACGTGTAAATATATGATACCAAGACTATACAGAAACAGACTTGCAACAAGTCATACCCTAGACATAGTAAGAAAAATATGGCATCATGTAACAGGAGATAATCCAAGAAACTAATAGGCAGTAGCAAAGGTCATCTATGTGGCCCATACAACAGTATGCAACATGGTAAGAGGAACCTCCATGTTGAAAAGCACCTCAAGTTACATGTACACTAGTTGCTTCTATGACATACCTGTTCTATCATCATATACATCAGGCAGCTGGGAAATGTAATGGGTATTCATAATATTCCAGTCAATGAAATGGTTACTAAGGAACCATCATCCTCAAACAAAAGATAAATTATTGAAATCCAGCAAAAAATAGGGGTGTGCTTTGGACATGACAGAGCCTTTCGAAGTGAAAACTGATGCAGGGCTATTGTCAAGACACAGAGTCATAAGATAAAGCATTACCAGAAATTTTCTCAGTCTCTGTAGTCAGTTAGATCAACTCTAACACAGTACATGAAGTAGAAAACCAGTATTAATAGAATCTATGAGTGAGGTTTACTCCATATTCTTTTTTAAGAGTTGCTTTTCTTAGTAATGTTAATTGGAATGTCTAATATAGACATTTTTATGACTAAAATGTATTAAAGCCTTTATGGTTAGTTTATTAACATGGTTATTTTATATTGTTAGCTTCGTATAAACTTAGCAAGTTATTATTTTCCTACACTGAAAATATATTTCTGATAAATACTTACCTATTCTCACACATATAGCTATTCTCGTTGTGTACTGCCCTCTATATGCAAAGACTTTTTTCATATACCACAAGCTTTGAACTCCCACTTATCCCATGATTAACATGGTTCACTGTGTCTTTGCATATAAATCATACCCTTCACCAATAGGAATGCGACATACCCTCCTTACGCATGTGACTCACTTTATTCCATCCTACCAAACTATAACTTCGAGATTAGGCAGAAGGAAGCATCGGTTTTAAGTGGGGAAGAAGAGTGTGAAATGTGAGAAGAGGTAAGGATCTATTGGAAATATATTCTCAGTGTATGAAATTAACTTCCAATATGGTATCTTACCTCTTCTCACACATATAGCTAGAATCCTACATTGAAGTGGTGGAGGGACTGATGCAAGGAATATAGAGAAGTATCTTTCAAAAGCCTCCAAAGAACACACTAGAGGTGTGACCCCTGTTGGAGGGAAATACATGTGGGAGACTGCACCAATTCTGTACTAGGTATATTCTTTGCCCAGTGTGGAAAAAGATGTCACATACATGGGCAGAAAGTAGGAGGTGCATATAAAAAAAACAACTATAAGAGGATGTGCCCCATGGTGTAGAATGGCTAAGGTGCATCAGACCATATGTGGCTCGTCAACTCCAGTCCAAAACCAATCAGGCATACATTTTCCATCCTGTTGTAGGAATAGGGTCCACACTGTCTTCACCTCAAGTTGAGGAGAATGGAAGGATATACTTACCAAACTGATCCACCAAACAGGTCTCATGTTCACAACCAGTCATTTGGGAAACCAACCTCCGAATGACAGTAGGAAGGGATGTGCCAATGTGGCAGTTCACAACAAATCAAACCCCACTGGTCTGGCTCAGTATTGTGTTACATCATTCTCAGGTAGTAAAACTCCAAAAAGTGAAGGGCCAAAGGAATAACCATCAACTGGAGCAACATCATCCCACTGATAGGACTGCACAGAAGCTGGAGCTCATGTGTGTGGAACGTCAACCTCCAGGACCCACCACATGGAGATAGAGATCATGATGCAAAACTACTAGAATGAGGTTGGATAAGGAAGCATGATCAACATGTGTGAGGGCTTATGTTGATTGGTCCAGCTCCAATAAAAAACCACTCAGTGGGAACTGATTTCCATGTGGTTGTAGGATGAAGAATTCCAATTGGAGGGTTGAATTGCAGTATGACAGATCTACTTGAAATGATACTGTTGTTAAAAAAAAGTACCATATACTGTTTGTCTAAACATGAAGGATCAGCACCCAGTGGCACAACTCAAGAGACTGTCACCTAGTGCTCAACTCAACTCTTTTAATCCAGAATATTTGGATATATAAAACTACATAAAGCCACCAAATTATTAAGTTTATAAATATTTAATAGCTATAGTTTTGCTTTGTATTGGTAAACATGCTCAATATGTTAAAGAAAGAGCTGCATATCCTCCTTCATAGATAATTAAGAATGCATATTTATGTCTGCATGATATCTGAAGAATTATTTTAAATATACAGACAGAATATCACCACTGAAAACATAAAATGCAGTTTAGAAGTTTACTTGACCTTGTCATAAACAAAACCACATCAAGTCCATCACAAGATGGCTGCACCAGGCATGCGTGAAATAACATGAAATAATTGATTGCACTAAAGCATGCCTGAGACAAGTGTGAAGTAGTCATCCATTCAAATTATTTCAAGATCATTACTAAGACCAATTACTTGTATAAAAGAGAGCTTACTTTTTCAAAAACAGAACCATACCATAATGGCTTTCATAAGAAGATAAATAAAAAAATTCGATAAAGTAACTTGTGCATTTATTGTACCCTCAGGTTTAATAACACTTTCATTAGATTATGTAAGATAAAGAAAAATATTTTAATGAAAATTTTTCACAAGGTATGCTCTCAAGCAGTTCGCTAGTAGCTTGTGCATTACATAATTCAATAGGGTAATGTGAACTACATGTTCACCTAGTGATTTACAACATTTACAATTAGACACAGTTCAAAATGCAATAAAACAATAAAGGTTATATAGAAACAGATGTATACTGTTATGAGTTCTAAGCTATTTCAGGTAAACAAATGTAATTTATTGTTACAATATGAAGTCATTCTAGAAAGAAAAAAAGGGTAATTTAGATTTATTTTACATTTTTGTTAGGTGGTTACAATGTCCATCAAATTGACTGATCCTGTACAGCGTTAGGGTAGAAAAAAATAACAGATAAAATATAGTTTTACTGAAAAAACATTTGAAATATATTTAGGAGGTTTTACAGATTATGTGAATAAAATTTGACTATTTTCAGAAAAATAAAAGTATTTTAAATCTTAGCATGAAAATCACTTTGCACTTGAAGTAGTCAACACTTTGACTCCATATATTCACGGAGAACTTTATAGTACAGAAACTTCATTAAAAATTCTGATTTTCTGTCATAAGACATAAAAGGTTTACTGAAAGCTTGTAAAGTTTAATCAAAATACACAAAACATATTAGAATTTATAGTATAGAAACTCTAAAGATCAATTTAGGGTAATGAAGTTGGTCAAACTGGCAGATCTCATAGGTAGACAGTTAACAAATCCCTATCATATAGAATAAATTACTGACAACTACTATTTTATTTTAAAATTAATCTGCTAACAACACATATTCAAGGACTTTGTAACATATCTCATACCTTGATTTCTATGTCACCCTGAGCAGTGACTGTAGCTTCACAGTCTGGTTCCACTAAAATTGTACTAAAATAAAAATAATGGATTAAGACTTTTCAGAAAAATTATTCATATAGACACAAATTTTAATGATGTCAGTAAAAAAACTTATAACTTCTTAGTAGTTTCATGTATCTAAGATGTATAAACAATTTTCTTTGTTTCCTGTGCTATCTGTGCTGTGCCCACCACAGGTATTGAAACTTGGTTTTTAATGATATAAGTCCACAAACTTATCATTGTGCCACTGAGGGGCAAACAATGTTGTATAGACATGTTGTAGTTATATGTGTTTCATTATATACATGATTATTTAACTATATATATATATATATATATATATATATATTTTTTTATTACTTAAGAACTATTGCCCTTTATTTATTGACAGATGTCACAGGACTGCAATGGTTTTATTGTCTTGAAATTTTTACATGTTCTATGGTAATTCCTGTATGTTGAATTGAAAAATGATATCCATTTTTCTCCATCACGTACAGATTTTTCACAAAACATCATAACTCAATGCATAAATGAAAGACCACAACATGTAGCTTTGAGACTAAAAGACGTAGATTTCACAAAAAAAAAAAACAGAATGAATGAGGATGCATATTCGTTTGACATCATTGTTCTTCCCTTTTCTTCAGTCTGTTTGTATTTTCGTTAACAAACATAATAATAAAAAATGTTCATTGTGCTAAATGAAATAATAATTTAATCTAACTAAGAGTTTTTTTTCTTCCCAATTTGTAAAAAATCCTTAAGTGATAGAAAAAAATAAATATTATTTTCGAAATCTGCATAGCTGAATTATGGAAAAACCTGTTATTAAAACCAAAACAACGTTTGTGAAGTTTAAATTCACAGGCCTGTTTCATTCATCATCATCAAAGATCAGGATAGTGATGGATGCATTTCTTTCTGATATAATCTTGAGTTTTCAGACCAGTTACATACACACACACCTGTAGTATAACATACCAATTATAACTGTAAGCCTCTCAGCAGTGTCTGATGCTGACATCCTTTAAAAGGAAGGATAAAATATAAAATTACAGGATAAAATTTACATTTCATGAAATGCAGATTATTTTTAGCAAAACCTCTCTTGTGGAAGTGCTGTATTATATTCCTACAGAACCAAATATGGGTATACACTTCAAACATAATGTAGAATGGGGCTATCTTGATTTAGTTAGAAAATGATTCTGGATGGTGTGACAAGCTAACAACTGATGCCATGACAACCAAACATGCATCAACATGCCTACTCCATTGAGCAACCATATTTTGGACAAATGATCACAAATTTGGTATTAAGGAGTTATTTTAGTTAAGGTATGCGCAAATTTGTCCTCAAATGTGGTAATTAAATATCTATTTACACAGTAAATACAAAAAAGCTGGAATTATATGAATAATACAATGAAATTTTAAAGTTTTCACTGGATAAATGAATATATTGGTTGTCTCAAAAAGTTCCATGTTTTAGCAGCTATAACATGGATGGAAAGCTTGGTTACTTAAGTCATGTAATTTGAGTTATTTGGGTTGGGAAAAAATGAAATTAATGTTTATAATAATAATATATAATGTATAAATATGTAAATTTGTAAAATGTAAATAAATAAAAAAAATATTATTTATATGTACGTATACATACTGATGTAAACATTTTACCTGTACCTTCTATACAGAAAATTATATCTATAATTACTCTTATCAAAGAATAAGAAATACATAAAAATGGCTTGTTTTTACCAGTACAGCTTATAGACTGCCTATGAATGACAGTTCATCACTACAAAAGAAAGAACTCCAATGCCTGCAAAGGTAAGTAGCATAAACCATACAAAGGATACACTGACACCAAACTGAAGGAAGAGGTGAGGAGAGTAAAGGCAGAGGAAATAAATTTATGAGACATGGCTGAAAAGTTTGCTATATGTAAAAGCACAATAAGCCAATCAAATATGCAGTTCCAGACTACCCTATCGAAAGTGCTTTCCATAAAATCCTCATACAACTTCACCAAAAAGTGGATGACAATGGGCAAGGGCAATAAAACCTCATCTCCCATTTTGCCAAGACTGTAATTCATCCACTGGATGATCAGTGGCTAAAGGAGTGAGTGCCCAGTGTTCAACTGGACTACACTATAGGAAGAAAAGTTGACACTTCTAGTACCTCATACAACAGGACTGTAACCAATGCTCAGTAGATGATAATGCCAGGCAGATGATAACCCATTTGTATAAGGACATCTCAAGTTCTGATGCGGAAAGTTCTACAGTCACCTTGGCCACAAGCCAGAGAGTTCCAGTGTTTCTGAGGAAGACAAGCAGCTGCTCTCATCTGTTCATGAAGATGCTGACCAAGAGCTTATACCTGAAGCTAGTGCAAAGCTTGGCATATTAGATTTTTCCCCTCTGTAAAAATGGCAAAAGAATGTGCACTTTCACAGGAGAAATAGCTGCTTAAGGCCCTTACAAAACACTTATCAAACTTGCTTTAACATTGGTGACATATTATTATAATAAGTTTTCGGAAAATGTATCAAATAGTCCTGTTCTACAGTCGTTGTTTTCTAACTTCTACCTAACAATTAAGGATAAGCTTTCCTACTTATCTTGAAACTAAGAATATTAATTTCAGAATTCATTCTTTTGTGCTCTCATTGATTCATCTCTTTCACTTACCTCTACTTAATTCATAAAGTACAAGGAGCACACATTTCTATCCCTCAGATAACAACACTGGGGGCAAACTCACAAATGAATTGTAGAGTTATGTGCAATTACTTGTAGTACATTCTAACATCTTACTTTCACACTACATATATCAGCCACAATAAGCATTTTCTTAGATGCACATGTATGACAGCTACAATTACTTCAAAACACAAAGCTACAAATGAGTTATCTTTGCTCTGACCACCACAGGTATCAAAACCCAAGTTTTAGCATTATATGCTTTCATATTTAGTGATGAGCCACTGGTGGACCATTTTAAATGAATATCAAAATTATTTCTGTAAATATGCATTTTTTTACACTCTGCAGTATTAAAAAATAAGCTTTTATAGGCTTTTACAGGCTCTTTCAGAAATTACACGGGTTTTAAAGATTAAGCTTCTGAAAAACGTTTTACAAGTATTATATGTTTGCAGGGAGGTCTGCAGCTAATACAACCAAAATTATTTAACATTAAAGAAAAAACCATTGTCAAAATAATTAGCACTAGTTATCAACTGAAATTGTTTACCTATGAGTTCTAAACACATTCAGAGGTTACAACAGACATTAAAGAAACAAACTTTTATCAATCTCTTTAGATTAGCAATTCCATGTATTCAAAACTTACCAATTGTCATCTATAATTATAGAAGGACCAGTGATCACATGCCCATTGAGAAGATTACATAACAAAAACACCTTTGTATCTTGATAGCCACCTTCAAAGTAACACTTTGTGTGCTGTGGAGAATAATATTTAACAGTAAATAAACCATACACAAAATATACCATAAAATTCCTATTTCTATTGGTTTAGTATAAAAACTAAATTTCTAAAGTTAAATACAATTTAGGAATACCAACTTTAAATTTTGTACCAATTTTAATTCTATGTGATGATAATTTTTCTTCTATCCAATACAGTGTAGCATATGACAATAACTGCATAAACACTGATACTGAAAAAAGTAAATATTAAATGATAAATACTTAACAGACCAATCTGCCATTAATATTCTCTACTAGCTTTTACTGTAGCTACTTGACTTTGCTAAGATAAAAGTCTTGAATTGTGAAAAGCTAATGGCATTGCATTTTTATTTTAAATTACATCAACAAATAAACCACATTTCACTAAAACAAGAGGCATGGATCACAAAAATTTAACAACAATGAAAACAAAGGATTTCAAGAATTTAAAAAAAAATCATAACTGAGAGCTTCTTCTAAAAATGGTAGACACAACCACAGATATCTGTCTATTATTTTAAATACTTTATATTAGTAATGATAGGTTAAGTACTATTAAAGTTCTGAGGATATGGCCATAATGACCTGAAAATAATCCTTTATAATCCAAATTCAAATAAATAATAAAAGTAATAAATACCAACAATAAACCATGAACTAGGCAAAACAATCCCCAAGTTCTCAAATTTAAATGTACAGTATAATAGTCCATAAAACTTCCCACTTTAATAAGAACAACTATCGCTTTATACACTGAATTACAACACTATATAATGTAAATCTTTTTACCATATAAATCCTGAAACAGGACATAATAATCAAAACATGTATTAACACAACACTAAGAAATATATATATGACTATATGGTGTTGCAAACAAAGAAACTGAAAGACAGAAAAAACAGACTTGTTCAATCTAACATAAAATAGTTCAATATAAAACATCATGCTACTTCACTTTCAACTCAGGGGAACAAACCACTAAGCAAAATAAAACACTTTTACAGTATACATTTTGGACAAGAGCATAAAACTGCATAGCACTGTTTTAGAAAACACTAAGCATAATAATATTGTTTTACATTACATAATGTAGAGTAGAATATTCACTAATGTGACATATATATTAACACCATGACAAGTTTATGATTAATAGAATATTCATTAATGTAACATGTATGAACTCTGTGACAAATTTATGATTGACAGATTATTTAGTGTGGTTTGTTTGTTTTTTGTTAAGCACAAAGCTATACAATGAGATACCTGTATTGTATCTATCATGGGTATCAAAACCTAGTTTTTAGCATTAAAGCTGTAAGGCTTATTGCTCAGCCACAGGGGGGTCAGAATGTTCAGTAATATAACATATAGAACTCCATGACAAGTCTATCATTAATAGAATATTCAGTAACATCACATATATGAATTCCATAACTAGTTTATAATTAATAGAATATTCGGTAATGTAACATATATAAACTCCATGACAAGTTTATGAACAGTTTAATTTGTTTTGAATTTCATGTAAAGCTATCTGTGCTAGCCATCCCTAATTTAGCAGTGATAAACTAGAGGGAAGGGAGCTAGCCAACACCACTCACCATCAACTCTTGGGCTACTATCTTACCAATGAACAGTGAGAATAACTGTCACATTATAATGTTCCCATGGTTGAAAGGGCAAGCATGTTGAGTGAAAGGGATTTGAACCCTTGACCCACAGATTGCAAGTTGAATGCCCTAACCACCAGGCCCATCTTACAAAAGAATGATTACCAATTTTAGTTTAACTTGAGCCATAAATAGTGGACAAAAAAATTATTATAGCAACTTACTGATATAAAGTTTTAACATTTATGTTTCAAGTTGTCTAAGAAGCACTTAAATTTCATAACTTCATATGCACTTGGTTTAAAAATTATAAATTAGATGAACAAGAAGTTATTCAGACCATTTTTAAAGAGAAATTTTCCAGCCTCACCTAAAGAATGAAATAGAACTAAGATCATGGTTTTGTTTGTCAGATTATGTCAGACGTTTACATACCTTCTCTACAAGGTGAAAATTCTCATGTTTTTTGTTTTTTTTAGGATTCTGTTGTATGTACAATGGCAAGCATCATTTAATAATCAAGAACTACTAAAATGGGAACAAGGTCTTTTGACAGAAACTGAGTGTTTTAAAGATTTATATATAACACAAATAAAGAGTTGCTCTACAGTAAAGATGGCACACCACACACCTAAAACCTATCTTTTAACTTTGATATTGTTTGAAATAAAGATTCTTTCACTGTGTTTAATTTGTGTCCAGTCTCATTCCTTGTGTAAGACTCAGATGCAGTTAGAAGACTCCATAATTTTGCTCTGTATTACATTTTCTTGCAAGCCTTCCTTTATTCTGCAGTTCCTACCCAATTACTTGGCAGAAAATCAGAGAACCTGAGAATACCACAAAGTATGTACAAAATAAAAACTTGGTTCCATAGTACAGGATATGTTTTTACCTAATGCTTGTTTTTCCTGGAGAAGTGTATTTGTTTGTGTTCTTCTGAACTCTTGTGTTATTCAGTTAAAGCTTTGTACATAAAGATGAGACATTTTCAATAAGTCAGACTTAAGACCAGGATGAAAAATTATGCATTGGTAAATGGCTGTCAGAGAGAGCTATAGCTCTCAGGTCTATCAAGTCCTCTCCTGGACATCATATTTGTGCTGATGATGTCTTTCTCACTGCATCCATAAATCCAGTAAGGAAAACTACCATAATCTGTTGCAGAACAAATGATAAAGTTCTCCTCTTGAGGTTTAACCTCTCTCCACACAAGAGACACAGATGATGGAGAATAATCATGGTAGTGTGCAGTTTGATAAATCTGTGACTGGCATTTCCAGACCAGAGTAGTCCAACCCAGGTACTGATAGATGCCACTCATAACTGGGCAAGGGAGAGAGAGAGTGTGTGTGGATGTGCCACTGGTGGATTGTGTACACCAGAAGGGGCTGTTCTGCAACCAGGTGAGACAGCAGGAATGAACTAATGAAAGTGGTGTTCTGTGGGGTAGAGCCTTTACATGCTAAGGAAGTATACTGTCAGTGTTCCCCAGGTCACAAAGAAGCCTGGGAGCAAGCTGACTCAGTAATGTGCTTTTTTGTGGCTCAAGGGCAAAAACTTAATCCTCTTTCAAATGTAAGGCTCCTTGCACCAGCCCACTCCACCACATCTGTGATATTTAGGACATCTCAGCCTCGTGTTGGCTGACAGTCTGTGGGTGAGAGGTTTGCACTAAAACCATTGGCAGCTTTGACAGAGGTAACACAAATACAACCTTGAGGTTTAAGGATGCTGCAAAAGAGAATCTGGACCACATTTTGAAGCATTTCAGGCATGTTTCTGCCTGGAATAGCGGAACTTGAAAACAGACATTGTGACTCCTAACCCTTAGGTGTAATGATTTAGCCCTCGATACCCTTCAGCACTTGAATAAGGCACAACTATGGCAATTAAATACAACTGTAGCCAAGGTTGCACAAGCATTTTAACCAATATCAAAACTCAAAAAAAGGAGTCCCTCCAAAACTTGGGTGCCATAAGCAGATATACAAGTTCATCATTGATAGAATGCCAAGTGAGACAATAAGGTATGACTTGGGTATAACAAATATTCTCACACTGATGGAGGCAGTTTCTGTGTCAATAAGATTTGAAGTTGCAATTATGAACAGGCTACAAGAGAGAAAAAATCTTGCATCAGTAGCTGCAATAGTTGTGCTTCAAATAAATCACCATACTCAAATGAGTACCTCACTTAGAGCTTGAGTTTTGCTGAGAACAAATCAGCAGCCAATACATCCCAGCACTGTAACACAATCCTATTGGTTCCTAGTTAATGAGCTTAGTATCCCTGGTCCTCAAATGATACTTGTGCCACAACTGATGCCAATGATAATTCCACCTGGACATCAGTGCAGAAGAGAAGACTAAAGCATCATCTTCTTTGGGTGCGGGTAACAGGGTAATTTCAAAGTAACTATTTCAACTTCCACTCTGAGAAACTAATGGAGGATGAGTCATGTATGGTCACTGATTTGGGGATGTGTAGAAATCAGCTGGGGGCAAAAGGTTTAGTGGTCTGCACAGCTCTCTCAAAACTGTGTGGTGTTTAGTATATACCCATAAAGATAGAAGATTGCAAGAAGAAGGTGCTCATTAATACAGGAGTTGCCAGGTTACTGGTTGATCTCACAATACATAAGGCTCTCCAAGTGAAACTACCACTCTCAACAGTTAACACTGATATCTTTCTGGCAAACAGTGGTAATCCAGATGTGACTGGAGAGGCAAATCTCTGACTAAGTCTAAGTAATGTCAACCACAGAATGAAGGTAGTCATCACAGTCCTAGATTCTGGCATTAGTATATTCATGATGGATGTTCTGTGGAAGCTATCGATTTCTTATACATGTGAGCTTCATTTACATAGTAAAACCATCTGATGCCAACCAAAGAAGGCTCAGAAGCAGTGGAACACATGTGTGTACAATGTGGAGAGAATCACAGTACCTCTATGTACACAAATGTTGTTCCATGATTTACTATGAATGAAGTCTAGTTTATATAATGTAATTATAGAGTCAATGCATGAAATGCAGTTTTCTGTCCAGAAAGCAATCATCTGCCTAAGGAAGGTTAAGTCCCAGTGTTGGTCTTGCCTATTGAGATTCCCAAGATACAAAAGAATTAGCAGGTAGTTGAAATTGTTGTATTAGTATTGGGCCTATTAGTGAACATTAGTTTAACTAGTAACACTTTTACTTGAATAAATATATTTATTTTGTTATCATTAACATTTGCATTCATCTTTTTACTGAATAATCCAAATGAACCAATAATCCAAATTGAAGTGCTCCTTTTATTTTTAATTTCATCATAGATGTGCAGATGAAGCAAAAATGTTACGGTCATAAACATGCTCACACATTTTTTTGT